GAGACAGATAGATAATTTTTGCACACAGAGTCACTCACACACAAACCTTCACACACACACACACACAGCGCGTGTCGCAGCCAGCACGGCCAGACAGGCAGGCAGGCATTCAGGAGGAGAGCGACCGACGTCACTGACTGCCTCGGTGTGGGATTGAGTGCTGTAACAGTTTTTTGACCAACCAAGAGAGAGAGGTTTTTCGCATCGCATCACCCGTGAGCTGGATGTGACTGCATCGCTCGCTCGCTCGTGTGCGTGTGAGTGAGGGTGAGAGTGCTAGTGTTCCTCCTTTATCTGTATACATGCATCTGTGTGCCGTGGTGCCGTGTGGTGTGTCCATGCCAGTGTGCGTGTGTGTACGTGTGTGTGTGTGTGCATGAGGATCGATGGATGCCATGTGTGACGCTTTAAACGTCCGTACGGTCCGCCACAACGTCTCTCACAGCACCATACCATGGAACACACATCGAAACACATACTCCATCCATCCAGCTAGCTGTACACTCATCCTCCCACCCCTCGTCAGCCGCTATGCGGGCTGCGCCGCCTCCTCCTCACTGCCAACAAGCAGCTGGAACCACTCCTGCACCTCACTCTCGCTACCCTGCACACACAACACACATCCGACACGTTCGAACTCACCCACCCTCCCTCTCCAGCCCGCCCACCTGTTGTATCTGCTTGACGGTGAGCTGCACAGGAAGGATGTCCCTATTCTGCACAAGCAGCTCCCGCATCTCGCCAACACTCGGCTGCCAGTCCTCTCTCAACGCCGTGAGCAGCTCCTCTACTATGCCGATGAGCGCCTCGTCGGGCTGGCTCTCGAGGGCCTCCTTCGTCGGCCGCTCCTCAGGCGCCATCAGGGGTGCGTTCTGGAGGATGATGTCGATCAGCTCTTCACGCGAGAGGGTTGACACGATCTCCCGGCTGCTGCTGCTGTCTTGTGGTTCTGGCCAGTCGTCTTCCCACTCGTCAAGACTGAGGTCGGCCTCGTCGATCTCTTCATCATTTTGTTGTGGTTCTTCCTCATCGACGGTGAGGAGAGGCTGTGTTGCGTCGATGGCATCCATGTCGTCATCATCTTCGCCGTAGACGGGGCGGATGAGCGCGTCGAGGAGGTCATACCACATAATCTGATGGATGGATGGATGGACTGAGGTGTCTGATCCACTCCTTCACTCGGTTGGCTGACCTGCATCATGTTGTCTGATATCCTTGCGAGGTCGGTCTGTTTGATGTTGTCGAGCTGCAGCATGTCCCAGTTGTCGAGAATGATCTGCTCCTTCTGCTGCCTGGGGGGGTCCCACAGCCGCAGGCCCTCCATGCACTCCTCCACCAGCTGCTCCAGCTCAAGGTCGTCAGCCTGGCCGATCAGATTGGTGTCAATAACCATGCACACACACATAGACGGATGGTGTGGTGTGTGTGACGGACCCTTTCGAGATCTCTCCTCTGGACGCCTTTGCGTGGGAGGAAGTCGATGTTGGCCATAATGAGCTCTATCATCTCCTGCACACACACACCACACACACACAAAGGCAGCAAGGTAGCACAGCATCCATGGGTGCGTCTGCATCCCTCCCTCCCTCCCTCCCTCCCTCCCCCCCCTGTAGTACCTCTCTCCCCACGAGCACTCTCTTCATTCCCTTCCGCGACCGGGGGCGGTTCTCCAGGCTAGTCCCTGACACAAGATGACATGACGCACGAACGAACCAAGTAAACGCATTTGTCCTTTGTGTCTGTCAGCGTGTGCACCCACGCACACACCGGCAGTGTCAGCCATGACGGCCTGCAGCAGCCGCTCCTCGAGCGCCTCACGGGTCTTCTTGGGCGGATAGGGAATGCCACGCAGGTCGAGCTCTCTCTGGTCACCCGACAGCACATGGATGCCCGCCCGGTCGGATCCCTGAGTGGTGTGAGGGTGAGAGGGGCCCACCTTGATCTGATCGAGGTCCATGTTCATGATCTGTTCGGTCGAGTAGACTGTGAACTGCGGCTCTGCGGCAACGGGCATGTCGTCGAACATGAAGAACTCCCGCATCGCCCTGTCATCCCCGCTCTCGTCCGCGCCACCCAGCCACCTCCGACGATCCTGACAACACACACACCAAAGAGCGCACGTAAATGGGTTAGTTCGTGTGTCCGTGTGTGTGTGTGTGTCCTCGTCCGCAAAATCGCGTGCCTTTGGCTCCTTTGAGAAGACGGCCATGGCGTCCACGACGTCGGCGTCCTCCTGCTGCTGGTGCAGCTGCCGGTCGGTTTCCCTCATGTCGAGGTCGTCCTGGCGCTGCTGCATTTGGAGCTCCCGCAGCTCGTCGACGCGCTCGTTGAACTCCTCCTCCTCATAGGCACGCGCTATGTCGCCCTGCACACGCAGACACACGGATGTCTGTCTGTCGTGTTGGGGAGTGTGTGGAGGGGTGGGGTGAGTGGTGGGTGCTTTGACACACACGTACGAGGTATTGGTTGAGGAGCTGTTTGAGGTTTGACGCGTTGGTGCCGCCCGATGACTCGGCCGCGTCGAGGGCCGCTCGCAGGGTGGCCGCATCGGCAGGCTTCATCGACACCATCTCCTGCACCCCCACACACGTGCAGAGAGAGAGGACAGTGCCGATTGGGGGCAGATGGGATGGTTGTGTGTGTGGGTCAGAAGGACCTTCTCGGCGATGTCTCGTATCTCTCGGAGATTTTTGATGCGCTGCTCCTGCATGGCCTCGAACGACCGCCTCCGCTCCTCGCGCACTTTCTGACCACCGACAAACATTCACACACACAGAGGATGAAGACACGAATGCGTCCACCCCTCCCCC